CAATAATATTATGTATAATAATTATGACAATACCTAAAAAGTGCATACTACAGTCGAAATGTGTACAGGTACTTAACATATAGTTATTAATACATTGTCATCACTTGTATTTTAATAGAATATACGTAACTAAATTTAATATTATAAAAACTGAAAAAAACACTAAGATAGTTAGTTTTTTTCTAAAAAAACAGCTGTTTGTAATTATACAGGGCGACGATTTTATGTTTTAAAAAAATATCATCGCGAAAAAAGGAACAAACGCAAGTGAAGTCACGGCAAAATATAACTTTTTCTTTAAATAAAAATGTAATATTGTTTGTTGATTTTTCAATATAATAAAGTATGTTTTCATAAAAGTGTCAGGTGTAATATGTAAACGGGTTTATGAAACGTCATATTTAATAAATTATGTGCGTACTCAGGTCTGGTGAAAAGACCCACTCGTCTCATGTTTTACTTACACGATTCACTCAGTACCTTATTAGGGTTGCCGATTCTTAATTATAGTAATTAGATATTTAATTTAATCTGGACATAAGTCACATTGCAACATACTTAACTCCATTATAATAATTATAATTACATTCATAGATTATTTCATAAGCAGATTTAAACCGTAGAGTTAGTTTTTTGTAGACCGTACCTCTAAGTTTCAGGCTATTGTTGTTTTTAGAACTTCTATTGTTTATTTTAATAATTGATAACACTATGAAGTAGAATTACCATTACTATTATCAGGGTCGATAACAATCGAAAGACAGTTGACAACCCTACTTCCTTCGCGGGCTTAAATGAGCGAACTTATCCTTTAGTTTCGCAATATCAAACAAAAATGTACTCTCATACACTGTAATAAGTCTCATTTTTGCAAAGAATTTTAACTTAAGTCCAAAGTCAGCGATACGTCAAGACGTCCTTGTACCAGATATTATACAATTTCATTGAAAATAATAACATTGTAGTAACATAATATTTTATTGTCTCTTTTTGATATATTAGCATTCCCCCGCGACTCCGTCCTCGTGGAATTAAAAAAAAATAAAAGACCAGTCTATGTGTTCTTCCATACTATCCTCTACATTTATACCAAATGTCATCGAAATCCGTTCAGCCGTTAAGGCCACGAACTCTAACAAACATCCATGTACATGGATCAGACGATTGCTTGATAAAAGAGTAATTTTAAAGAATTCAAAATTGAAGTGAAAATTTTAATCTCATATTGCTTTTTTGTTTCTTGTAATGATGAATAAACATAAGTTATGCTCAGTATCAAAATGTAAACATGTTTGCTTGCATTAAAAATATTTATAAAAGAAAATCTTCATTTCCTTATATTTGCAACCCTAACTACCTCTATTGAGCAGTCGTCAGTCATTTATTTAAATTCAATTACAAGCCTGTAGCGGTTTTCCGTAATGTTTCTGATTTCTCCATTCAGGTAGACATTTTAATCAAAACTCTTACAAAAGTTTACAAACTTTAAGACAAGCTTCTTCGTGTTACAAGTAAAATTACTAATTTGTTTAGGGAAACACTTCATTAAACCGGGCAGATATGACAGCTTATACCTATTTCCTTTTCGCTCTTTGACACTTGTATCTTTCATCTCTTTCGTGTAACGAAAAACAAATGCAGTTTCTATACGTACATATCAAAATAAATCTTATAGGCCTTCAGTATTGAAAATATACATGTACTTTCGTCAACGTCTATCCGCGTGTAATTACAAAAAACAACAAAAGTAAGTAGCATATGTGTTCTTATGGTCTACATCTAAGCCAAATCCATCGAGATTCGTTCAGCAGTTTAGGATACAAACTCTAACAAACATCCATCAATTTAAATATTAGAATGATTTATGCGTCAAAACATGTAATCATGGTCGAAAGCATACAGGCACACATATATGTTTTTAAAATCCAAAAGTATACAACAATCTGTGGATTAGGAAATGTACAAATATTTATGCATCTAAGTGTACAATCCGTCGTCGTTCAAATTACAACTAAAATATATTCATACTTTAACTAAGTAAAGATAGTTGAGAAAGGAAATACACATCCTCCAACTTATTTGCTAACGGAAACGGAAAAAGCTTAGCGTTTAGCACTTGTCTGGGCGCTAATGTGTGTGAACAAGGCTCAGACGGAAACTGAAAGCATTTAGCACAACTAAGTTAAAACCTTTGTTTTAGACATGTAAGTACTATACGACTTTAGTTATATTTTACGTAACAAACATGTGTGTGTCATTAGCGAGGTTTATGTGAATTTATTTTAATTTCAAAATGTTAGGAGATTAAATTATTTAAACTTTCGTGAGACATTTTATAATTTTAGCTTAATCGTAATTATATAGGTATTATAAAACCGTGCACACACCTTTGACCAAACTATCGCACAACTGTTTAGTCTTAATTCGATACTTATGAGTTTATATGATAACTAAACCATTGAATTGGCTGCGAAACAATCGACACACCTTTGACCAAACTATCGCACAACAATTGTGCGATAGTTTGGTCAAAGGTGTGCGCTCGCTCTGAACATAATCGTTTAACTTGTAATGCAGTTATTTTGTGCTGTAACTTGTATCTTTTCATTTTCTTTGTAAAACATGGACATAAAATATTCTTAAGCTGTTTTGATGAGAAAAAAAGTAAAAAGCAACAGGCTGTTGCTTTCATAGGCAAAGTAGAAATCAATGTCACTACACAGACGCAGTCGCCTGTTGCACGCAATCTTATACCATACGAATGATTGTTTTACACAAAGAAAACACACAGATAAAAAGTATCATAGTGTGCGCAAACATTTGAAGGCGAATGGTAGCACACATAGACATTTTTCAGGGTCTGGTTCACGCCCACATTAAAAAGCTGCAGCTAGGTCGCGGATGACGTCATTTCACGCAAGGTCAATACCAGTATTTTATCTCTTTCTAGCACACAGTCTTTGTCTATCTTTCTCTGTCTTCGAGCTCTCCGTACTGTCTGGCTGGGGTGCAGCGTGTGTATGTGTGCATTTTGTGCTTGTATTAAAGTGCTACGAAACGAGATCATTTCCCTGAACTTCTACGATCGCTACGAACTTGATATTTCACGTAGCAACACAACCAATATCCCTTATGTGCTCGTATATTTCATTTTACGTTATACCAACTTCGAAGGTTTCTGTCGATATTTTTTTATTAGACAAATTCAAGAGCTCGATGTCGCGTAAAAATGTTTTATATTACCTTCCGTTTTGGTAACTTCTTTTAAGTTTTTAGTCTAAATAATAAATAAACCTGATACAAAACTAAATAATAACATATCAATTACACTTTTTTTAAATTTAAAACTATTTTATTACGTTAACTGGAATTCTATTCGGTTCAAGGAAATGATTATTTGCATTCTTCAAAGATACAAAAGTAATAGACACTGCATTGTAACATTTACCCAAGAGATTAAGTAACAAAGATTGAGTTGTACTTAATGCATACTAAATTCGTCTTAGATGTTGCTTGTAATAAAGTATTCTTCATTACAATACAGCAAATATAACAGTGTATTAAACACGTAGCAGGAGAAAACAAAGAAATATAGATTAGTGCGAGTTCTTCGGAAATAAAAATACACCTTGTAATATTAGTGATACAAATTGTTAGTTATTTGTAATTTATTAAAAACTAAATGAACTCTCTGTTATTATTCTACTCTATGTGATATTAGGACATCGGCTTTTCGACCTTAAGATCATAGTATATATCTTATAGGGCTTTCATAATTGTATCGCTTTTGACACAAGCCATCGATCTCTTCATACTGGTACACTCTACCAGTAAAGTTAATAAACCAATTAAATCTGTCAAGCACATTTCTCACTAATGTTTGTAATAATTAAATCAACTATATTATTTACTGGTGCAATTATTTCACATATCCGTTCCAGAAACTCATCACAATTCCAACAAACAATAACGGATGTGCCTTCAGAATCAGACAGACGCTCGGAAAGGATACGACGCTTCCGGTCGCACACACCGACAATAGATAGGGCTGGGTAATTGTTTGTCGATATATTAGGATTTTACTATTTTTTGTAATAATTGTTACTTCTAAAATATTGCTACACACAAGAGGCGTGTAATCTCCGTTTTCGACATTTTTATGTGACATTCTTTGTTTAATCAAAGACATGACACGTTTTATGATAGCTTCCCCTAAATGTATTTACTATTTCAAACCTATTGTTGATACTGTTATAGTAGTCTGCTGCGGTGTCACTTTGCTTTATTACATTTTTCTCGTTCAATGTTTAATCCGAATTGAAAATATTGATAGTAGGTTTATTGTAAATAGCACCTAGCTAAAAGAATTTACTTTAAACTATTAATTTACTAGTTATCGATATGTTAAATGGAACAACACTAACGTCGCAACCTTCATAACACAGGAAAGGTGTGTATTGTATATTACCTTGATCAAGGCAACAAAGCTTTACATCACAATTCCATTGTTTATGGTCTTAATAAGAAACTGTCTTGATATGTTCTTAGGACCGTACTCGGATTGTTCATCACACACAGTACTGTAGGAAGAGAGTGAATGTGCGATCGCCCTGGGCGTTGTGTAGCAAGGGGCGCCACTGGAACTTTGTTTATATCACTATAAGTTATTTTAGCTTTCAACAAATTAGCTAAGTTTAATGTTAAAATATTTAGTCACTAATTTATAAATACCTTTTCTGCAATTTCTAAGTGAATTAGTTTTTTTGTAATTTGACTAACGCAATAAACAGGGTCCACGCTTTTTATCGCTTCAGTAACTATTTTCATAATTGCAACTTTTACCAATCGAAGAAACTTCGCAGACGGTCTTTGAGTCTTAAGTAGATTTTTTTTTTTAATCAAAAGTGAGGGTTTTCGTGCCTTTTATTTTTATTGATCTGTTAATAAATATGAATGTTTGTCATTTTATGGAGAAAAATAAATACATAATTATTATTTGGAATTTTATTTAATAACCATATGTACAAAAAAATCTTAGTTGATAAAAAATTAGAAAACATTGGAACGTATAGGTTTAAGTACAAAGTTATAAAAACTTAAATCTACCATTTTATTATAATGTCATTTCTAATTTTATTTTCAATACATAACTATCACATTACTATGACAACCAATTTACGAATGTTTTACAAAAATAAAAAATAAACTACAAAATCAACTTTTGAAAATTATTCATATTTCATTATATTGGTAATAAACAGTAATCCGATTTAGACAAAATTTAATATCAAACATTTTTATAAAACTTTACTAAGTAACTACTTTGTAAACCTAACTTGTGTACATATAAATTCTTCCTTAAGCAATATAAGTAGAACCATTTGTTTGTGAGCGATTTATAAAAACACACTTAATAACGTTTTTCGTTATCCTTAAAGGCTTATATGTAAGGTATTCAGTTTTCAGGCTTTAATAAGACTTATTTCTGGGATGTTCATGAAATATGCGAAAGAACTACCGCACTAAAAAGTATACATTTGTCATGTAGTCATTTGTATACATTTGTCATGTATCACTTGTCTGCCCGGTTCTCACTTGGCCAGTATAGTTAGACAGTTGCGGCAAGTAACATTCATTGGCACCTGTTAGCGTTCACACTCTGCCAGTTAATTGACGGTCCAGTCAGAGCGCTACTCACCAACTGTACTGGTCAAGTGTAAACCGCGCATAAAGCCAAGACTACATTGTTACTGCTGTGAATAAACTTTGAAGTTTAAATTAAATTAAATTTATACTAAGAATGACTGTAGCATAGATTATAAACCAAATAGTATCTTTAAGAATCGAATTAAAGAACTAAACATATTATAAAAGTATAAAATATATTGCATCTAAATTATGGCATACTAGGTTTTTATTAGTACCAGCTTAATGCTTAATTATCTAGATACATTAATAATACGTAAATATGAGTGCTTGAAAGAATAGAACTTTAAAATGCCCAAAAATAATAAACACAGTATTTTATTTAAACATGAAAAAGGAAGCTCTCAAGTCCGTTAACCCTTTACGTCCTTTCATACATCTCAAAACATCTTTCATCTCAAATCATCTTTATCAAACAGACTCGTCAGTTTTCGAACCATTGAAGAGATAATTTAAAGTGTGACAGGTCTGATTAATAGATGAATTTAATTCAAGTATGACCGGTCTAGTAGATTGTTTAGACTATAATAAAATTACGGTAGATCTGTTTCTTCATTGACGCGAAGAGTTCAACCATCCTACTGATAGAGAGAGACTGAGAGCGCTAACAATTTCATACAAAATAAATGAATTTACATTGCCCATGAATCTAAATGCGTGACATGTATACGACCATGCTATCTCTGTTTCTCACAAAGAGTGACAGGGATAGCATATTACAAGAAACGCATTTACTGTAAGGATTAAATCAAGAGCAAGCTTCACATCTGACGAGACCGACTTCGTCGCAGTTCATACACTTAAGGGCCACGAATTCAGCAGTGAAATGGTTACGATGGAGACTCTTTTTAGAGCCGTTGCAGATGCGGCATGGCAGCAGACGGAACCCTCCGCACATCTGGCATGTGTTGCACGCGTCTGGACTCTGAAAATACACGAGAAATCAATTTACAACACAATAAAGTCTGGTACAAACAAATCTTCTGTGATCTTGAGTAAGTACTTTTGTCTTTTAATTAAATAATGATTAGGCATCAACTACGTGACGAAAACAAATGAATTCCAGTGCCATTTAAACAAGAAACTAGTACCAAAAGCAGACTAAAAATTAGTGTTTCGCCATCAAGACTTCTAATTCAAGAAGTTATTAAAAACTCAATGAGACAATTTTTTTTCATCTTCCTACTAAAGTAGGAGTTAAATTAATTTAAACAAGAGCTAGATCAAATAATACTAAAAACTATCTTTACAGGTTATTTAGGAATATTGAAAAGTAATAAATATCAAAAGATAAAATGGAAATAAATCGTAGGAAAAGTAAAAGAGAAAACCTTTACAAGTTTAAAGCCTGTCGGGGCTTAATGTTATATGGGACGTTGTAGCAGTCTACGACTTCCAAGCTCAGTATCAATAGAACAAAAGACCAAACTTTTTGCTGAAACTTTGTAAGAGCTTTAGAATTTTCAGTCAAATATTTTCAAGTCCATTGAAAATGTTTTACCGAAAAGAAACTGTCTTGCAATTTCAAAATGTAAATCGTATTGTCTTTTACGTTTAATGCCATTACTGTTTTAAATAATTTTCATTAAATAATTACGGTATTAACAAATAAGGTTGTAACTTGTTAAAATTGTGCCTAAAAATAAAATTAGCAAATTTTTTGTCATAATGAAAAGTTTCATTTTTCTTGTAGGCGCTTAAAGCTTTCTATCTCAAGTCTCGGGGCTAATTACCCATTTCAGGTGTCTTACTTAAATTATCTGTCAGTTTTCTTTGAAACCTTTCGTCATTTACTTTTTTTCGTGTTACTAGAATTACGCTCTAATTACTCAAATAATATTTTTCAATATGGAAACCCAATTCTTTAAGTAACGTCTAAGTTTTCAAAGATAGTAAGAAAACTTGTAATTTAATTTAAAATGATTTATATTCTGCTAATTAAATGTGAAAGATAAATAAAAGTGATATGAAATTTCAAGTTTAATAAGATAATAAATTTCAGCAACGAACATTGCACGTACAAATTATCCAAATTGCGTGGTTTTTACGTAATTATTGTATAAGTTTCACTCGATCCATCAAAATTACATCATTTGTTAGCACAAGTTGTTTGAACAAGGTTGGGCTCATGTGCGCTCGCCTTAATAGATATCGAGTACATTGTTTGCGAATACGATATCTTTTTAATATTGGAGAAAATCTTTGACGAATACTCAGTTTTGTGAGCAGCACATAAACGACTGCTAATCCTTATTACTCACGAACATTTTTATAACATTTGTGTAACTTTGGTATTTGTCGACAAATAAATCGAGCTGCTTAGGCCTTACTGCCAATGAAAATTTGTAAAGCCAGTGACACACGCTCTGTCGGAACTAAGCGTTTGTAACTGACTTTTTTGCGACGCAAATTATAAAAAGAAAGGTTTAACGTTACCTTATAAGGCTTCAGCATTTTTCTCAGCTCACCGCATTCATTTAACTTTTCAACAGTATCTGCGTCCTGAAATAGATAAAATTATGCGTTATTGAAGATAATTTTAATGTCGATAAAGTTCTAAGTAACTACACTACAGTACTGGAAACATAAATTGGTACGTGGAACAGAGTTTTTTTTTATAACATAAGGTGGCAAACGAGCAAACGGCCACCTGAAATCGCCAAAATGGCGAAGTGACCGCTGCCCATAGACATCCGCAATTGCAGATGCGTTGCCTACCCTTATTAGGCGGAGGAGGAGACGCACATAAAGAGGATATTTCCCCTTCTTATGCATCTCCTCCACTGTCAAATCCTCTTCCTCTTCCCAACCTCTTTTTATAAGAAAAGGGTGGTAAAGAGAAAGGGACTTAAATTAGGCCTCCGGCACCACACTCATCAGACGAAACACGGAATTGTTTCCATTTCACGCCTGTCTTCTATGTGGTCGTGGTATTACACCGGGCGTGCCGGCCCATTCGTGCTAAGTTGTCTAGTGTCAATAATATACTATAGATAATATAGTCAAATACTTTTTTAAACCAATTATAGTGAGGTGAAAAAAGTCTAGGTTAAACTCAAGTCGAGTTGCGAAGATAGTTGATCTTAAGACTGCAACTTATCAATACGTTTGACGTTAACTGCAAACTTTTACCTGCTTTCTTTAAAGTTCGTTATGAGAACACGAGAGACAATATTCTCGGAAAATTGCCAGGGACTATAAAACAATTTGAAACTTATAAGGTCGCTTTAGAGTGCAATTTAGTGTAATAATTAATCTGTTTCGTCTGACTCCAAGTTTCAATTCATCTGGGTCAATATGCGATGCACTTGTTTGAGATTTGCTTTTTCTAAGTTATTTATCATTTTGAACTCAATACTCTGTACAGTTGGGTTGATTATCAATTGGGAAATCCTTCGCAAACATTAATTATTAGAATTGTTTGAATAGAACAATTGATGACTTCATATTGTAGCAATCTTTTTGCATTTTCAAGTGATTTAATTTATCTTTAGTGCATGGAATATCTCTGTCGGTAAACTTAAATATTGAATATTTTAGTAAACTTAAGAATTGAAAATACTATTCTGTTTTACATTTATGATTTTTTAAAATACAATAGTGTTCTTTCTAGAAAATTATTGGTGATCGAAGTTTCCAACATGCTTATACATTTTTAGCCTATCCAAATAATTGTAGCTTCAATATTTAATTTAATTTGAGCATTAATGCACAGTGCTGATAGAAATACTTAAAGGAGAGAATTGCTTTTTTTATCCATTCATTAATACCATCGTCTAATTCAGCAAAAAATTCTTTAATAAACATCCTGTTTAGGTGACAATTCGACATTACCATACTGAACCGCTATTTAAACATAAAGATATTTTAGTTCAATGACACTTAAGTAGAAAAACCCACTAATTTAAAAAATAACTGAAAATCAACAACCAGACGTATAACAGAACTTAGCGAATGTAATATGCGAAAAATTAAGATTAACTACTTTCAAAGGATGTCAAAGTAAAAAGATAACGGAATCAGAAATGTTATGGCAGGTTTTAGATTCGCAAATAAGCCTAAAAGTCTGTCGACACAACGAGTTAGTTGAACAAATAAAAGTTGGTTAAAGTAAAATATTTGTACACTCGTTTGCAAAAATAGTTATCACGATATATTATAATATTTATTTGAAATTAGATATTATGGCGTTATGAAGCATGTAATAAAATAATTGTATATTTAATGGAATATTATACACTTGATATGTTGCAATGTTATTTAACGCATCATGTAACCAATTACAAATGACCTTTGGTGGCCAGTCACTTTAATAAGCGCGAAGGCTCATAACGAAATATTTATCTGGCAAGTGTCACTGACATGAATTCGTTTGCTTTTGTGTAATCACACACATCAGCATAAAATTATTTTTTCCCTCAAAGTTTCTTTAATATATGTTGTATCTTCATAAAAATATAACGTAAAAAATTCAGTAATCTCGACTTACAGGGAAATGGTATGTTTAAACACTTTTTTTTGTCCTAAATTGTACATAGAATTAGTTCCATATGAAACATAAACTGGCGAATTTAAAACACGTAGCTCGTAACTTTAAAACAAACATTGTGGCCGACGGAAAACACGAAGGTAACGAGAAACAAACACAGTTATTACTAAACTACCCATATTGTGTCCGCAAAGAATAACATACGAGAGTTTGTTTGCTTTTTGGCATATCATTGGACTTACGAGAGGAAATTATGAAAATAATCTCTTAAAGCGGGCACATAACTTTGACTACACTATCGCACAACAGTTGTCAATCGACTGTCGATTATTTCGCAATCAATTCAACTGTTTAGTTGTAAAACTAAAAATCGATTAGTTGCGCACCTCCATATAAGCTCATATGAATCAAAGCGAGACTAAGTTGTTCGATAATTTAATGTTGAGTCCAAAAAAAAGTGTGCTCTTACATAGTTTATATTTATTTACGCACTTATTAAGGCTGGTTTAAAAATGGATTTAGAAATATTTTGTAATTTTGTATAAGGGCTTTCATCCCTTTAATCCCGAATAAATAATTAAACACTGATGAATCACTCGTCTACTACAATTTTTAAACTTATTTACTTAACGTGATTAGTATAATATATTAATTTAAAAATATTACTGCAATCTTGAACACACGAGACAAAGTTTTTAGTACGTTTTAGAAAAATATACAATTAATTGTTTTATTTAATTGTAACGTAGCTCTTTGCTACTAAAGTTAAATTGTACATTTTTTAAAGTTTAATCAAACCATTGCCCAAGCAATGAGAAAATGCCGTCTAGGAACTTAACTAAGAAATTGTTGTAAGAGACAACTGGCTAATAGTCATTAGAAAGCGGCGTAGACACGTACGCGGTCAGTATTTAATATATTGAGTATACAATGTGAACACAATGTACGGGGGCTGCTGTATCGATCAAGGGGAACGCACGGGAGCCGGGAGTCGGTCAAGGTCGTTGCCCCAGCACGTGCATCTACGTAAGCGTGCTACGTTAGGGTTGTCAAAACTATTGTCATATCATTTTAAACTAATGCTAAGACACCCCTTACTAAGGTAGGTTCCAGTAAATGTCGGTGTTGTACCTTAGAAGCTACAAATATTTGAACATTTTAAAACCAGACTTGGAAGAAATACCAATACAACACTTTTAGATATGTCTGTACGAAAAAATTTCGATTGGTAATACACGGATAGATTCTTTTTATTATAATCCCTTCGTATGGACTTACTGCTTTCCAATTAGTTGTTTGTAGGAGGCGGAGCTTGTCTAATTGCAATGAACAAGGCAATTTTTCCTAAAGGACTCTGCGAATTTGTGTTGTTTTGGGCTGATATTGTTTCATTAATGTTTAGACTATTTCAATTCAATTGTACTTCATTTTACTTGGACCACAGTTCAAGGTAATATGATTTAATAATTAATTTCACCTACCATTCTAACTGGTCCATTAAACATTGTTAGTGGGGGAGTCATTCAATCGAAGCTAAGGTAAATACAGTGGAAGTCCAATTACCTCTCCGTGTAATAGAAAACTGTTGAATTAGTAGCTAACGCTCGAGGTTGAATTACGTTGTAAAATCAGTTGAAATTCTAACTTGATTTGATAAAACGTTGTGTTCTTTACAAAATCTTTGCAGAATTGTATTGGAAGAGAAATCTGAATCGGAAATCTCGTAATTTTATTTTAATGTTGGTATTAAATATGATCTAGTTAAATGATGTATTCAGAGTAAATTGTTTTTGAGCCCCATAGTGTAGAAAAAATTTCACGAAGTGAATCATCATCACCAGCTCACTATACGTCCCACTGAGGGGCTCGGAGCCTATCCAAAGTTAGGGTGACTAGGCCTTAGTCAACCACGCTGGCCAACTGCGGGTTTACTTCACAGATATCTTAGAATTTCTTTGCCGATATGTGCAGGTTTCATCACGATGTTTTCCATCACTGTAAGAACGTCGGGCAAATTATGTCCAAAAAAAAAATCGAAAATCACATTGGTACATGGCGGGATTCGAACCCAAGACCTGTAGATTACAAGTAAAGTGCTTAAACCACTGAGCCACCAAAGCTCTAACTCCACGCTACGCCACCTCGCGCTTCGCCACTAAGCATGTAGTTAAGCAATCTAATAACTAAAATGACAATGAGTGCAGTTAGGGTTCTTTTATTATTGTAATCATTATCAACTACATCATTAAAAAAATTACCTTCACCGTGTTCATTATGATAATTATTTTGTATAACCAATAAACAAGTTAATTTTATACCGCAAATTTGTTAATTATCGCAAATTGGCGCTTTTAATATGAGTAAACGTTTAGATATACGTTATCGATACTAAAATGTATGTTACATACTCAATTTATAATGGATGGAAGCAATTAGTGTATGTTACCGATAAATCGTTCAAACCATCATTTTAAAAATATCCTATAAAATTGAAGACTCGACGAACTGCATATCGTACTAATTCATTTACAAAGTGACATGCCTTTTCCAAAATTTGTCAAGGTGATGCTATTTTGGTAGTTGCAATGTCGTCAGTTTTCGATAGTACGTATTACACGCGCTCAAAAGCCTTGCCGATGGTTATGCGTTGACTGACGGATCAAAGCGGATGAGTTTGAAACACAATATCAGTAGGAGTAATCGGCAAACCATCTCTACGAGCGACTAATAATTGCGAGCGACTAATATTTTTTATTTATTTATTTATTTATTTATTTAAAAAAAAAACCAACAGCGTACATATATAAAACACTTAAACGTTGAGTATTATGTATAGTAAGGCCAATGACAGGTTTTTATTTATAGTTATAAAAGTATATAATTCAATGATAAAGAAAACTATAAAGAAAGTCACACATCACAGTAAAGGGGTATAAATGAATGTGAAGAGAAAATAAAGTCTTACTAATATTATAAATGCGACAACTTAGATGGATGCATGGATGTTTGTCAG